CCAACTGGTGTGGCTTCCGATGATAACGATGTTGAGCTGGTGACTGAGGCGTTCGCCGGAGATGGCGGTGATTGTATGTACGGAGAAGCCGTTACGGCGTTGCTCAAGCGTAGGAGAAATGTGTTAGAGATGAATTCTTTCTAAGGCCTAATGGGCTTTTTTTTGGGCTTTTGTTTATTCGGCCCCTTTCTTATGTATATATACATACGCATCGTACAAAGCCGACTGTACTATTGGAGTACGACTTTTGGGTCAAATGACATCAAATCCGAATTATTCCTCTAATATGATATGATTACCACATTAAATGCGTTGCAGCATCTAATATAATATATAGATATGATTCGTACGAATAAATTAATAGCAATAATTTCTGAAATTTAATACTATTACTAGCTCTCAAATGGTTCATAATAAGCATGGGCTTTCGGTTATCGGTTGGGTCCATTCAGTTTTCGGTTCTTTCGGTTTTAAAATTTAGTATCCATTCGGATATTTTGAAATTTCGGTTCGATTTCGGTTTAGTTCCGATTCTTTCGGTTTTAAAATTTAGTATCCATTCGGTTATTTTGTTTAGGATATTTTCGGATATTTCGGTTATTTTTAGTATTTTCGAATATTTTTGAATATTTTTCGGTTATTTTTGAGTATTTTTACTATTTTTATAGATTTTTCAAGTATTTTTGATTATTTGGTCAATAAATAACTAATTATTTCAAAAATATAATTGCATTTCGGGTATTTCGGTTACCCGAAATATTTTGGTTCGGTACCGATTCGGTTACGGTTATTTCGGTTATCAAATTTAGTATTCATTCAGTTATTTTCAAATTTTCGGTTCGGTTCAGTTCGGTTTTTTTGCTTCGGTTTTGGTTCGGTACATTCGGTTCGGTTTAAAAGCCCAGCCCTAGATCATATAAGGTGATGGAATAAAAGCAATTAATAATTACGCAATTTGCAAATTTCAAGCCTATTGGATCTGATTTTAAGCCCATTAAGGCCCGCTAAAATCTCTATCCGCAAAAGAAAACTAATCCACATCTCTTTCAACTTTCAGTTTATGAGCTCTAGTTCGACATTTCAATGTCTCTATCAACCTTTCTTGAATAAAATAAAGATCTATAAATTAATTGATATGATATCATTATGAAGTATGAACACATTGAGTGGTATCATCACTATCATGATCAAAAGGATGTTACTGATTAGGTCACTAATATATTTCTTAACATTATTATAAATATGTAAAAGGAGATAGTGTGCAGAGAAAGAAAGTATTTAAGGTGTAAGTTTCATTTAACCATTAATTAATCAAATATTTGTGGTCCATAAACAAAAATGGTGGTCCTAGCTTATATTTCAGTGACAAATATATGTGCTTTAAATCAAATCAAACAAAATATCTCACATATGTAAACTTGATTAGAGAGTGAATCCCAACCATAGCTTATAGGTAGGATGAATGATGGTGCATCAATTAAAAACTTTGATTGCTAGTTGAAAGTGTTAGGGAATACAATTTTCATACTTACAAGGCTTCTTTTTGTCACATTTTATCATGTTTTTTTCTTTCATAATTAACCTTATCTGTAATTAAATATGTTTCATTGTGATTTGAGATGACCTAAGTTTGTGAACAAAGAGAGTAAGATGTGAATTGCCCAGTGTTCAAGAAAGCGCTAGGCGCTAAGCGGACGGTGACCCAATGCCTAGCGCCTAGAACGCCTAATCGGGCATAGGCGATTTTTTAAGCGGTTTAGACGTTTATAATATAAAATATTATAAATATGATATTATATATAAAAGTTATATAAAATATCTATATAAAACAAAAAATTATGAAATTATAAACAAAAATTAGATAAAACATTTATTTATATTTATATTAAATAATATATGAATATTTATAACTATATATATAAATAAAACTCTAATTAAAATTGAAATAATACATTAAACAAGATCTGTGTAATTTTAGACGGTCAAAGCGGTTATCTAGGCGTCGCATAAGAGCCTAGCGCCTAGTCGGGGCCTACGCGACCGCCTAGACCGCTTTTTAGAACACTGGAATTGCCCAAAAGGCCTACCCACATGATTTTTCAATATTGTCGCTCTCATTCACAAGGATTGGGGTACAACTAAATCAAACAGTATCTTCAATCTACATAAATTTAGCTTTATGAAATTTGATTAAAATGTTATATATTCCTTTTTCTATTTATTTATAAAGTTCTGAAATTGATACTTAACTGTTAAAGATAAAGTTTTCTCTGGTGCTTAAGGCCTACCTCAATGTTGATGCAACTTATCTTGATAACTGATAAGACATACCTAACTTTTAGTTTTTCCATTAATATTTGGGGTCTGATGGTTTATTTTTATTTAAGTATTTTTGAAATGCATATACATATTCCAACAGTTCTAAACTGTATTACTTTAAAGAGATGAACGCAATTAGCGCACCCATTTCACGTGAATTAAAGTGAAAATTCGAGTTTCATAATTACTCAATTCGGTGAAGGCCAAAAGGCAAATTTGCCAAAATTGTTGTTTAATATCAAAATATCAAAGTATCAAAGTTAGTTAGATAAAATCACAAGTGTATTTGCTGCCAAAAAAGAGAGAGATAAAAGTGTATTAAAAGGATTTGTTCAAAAAAAAAAAAAAGTGTATTAAAAATAAAAGGCATGTAAAAAATCTAATACTTCTTTAACCAAAGATCCAAAACGTCCATGTTATACATATATTAGAATGTCTCACATTGCTTAGGATTAAAATCTTTGGGTAATATATAAAGGATGTGGCAACCCTTAACTCTTGAGCTAGCTTTTAGGTTAAGTTAGGCCACATTCCTAATATGTTATCAGAGCCCCAGGTTGGCCCAACAAACAAATTCCTACAAAAAATGGTTTCCCACCTATGTGGCCCATATAAGTGGCATGTCTTGTTGTATTTCCGAGATGTTGGGCTTGGGCTGTTTCCCATTGGACCGTTTCCCACCCACATCTCGAGGAGGCCTATTAGAATGTCCCACATTGCTTGGGATTAAGATCTTTGGGTAATATATAAAGGATGTGGCAACCCTTAACTCTTGAGCTAGCTTTTGGGTTAAGTTAGGCCACATTCCTAATAACATACATGTTTTAATTTGGAAGGGAATTAACGGTTGAAGCCAGAGTGTGAAAAGCTGGAGCGAGAGCTACATCCAAACCGAAAAGACACAACTCTGAACTGTATCTGTGAAAATTCAGTTTTGTGTGAGAAGCATGAAACTAAAACAAAATTGTGTTTGAATCTAAGGTATAGGAACTTAGAAACTCATTTTCTCGTGTTCTTTTTGTGAAAAGTAAAGAAGAACAAGACCATCATAAAGGAAAATCTCCTATTCAAGAATCGAAACTTGTCTAAAGCCACGCAACAAATGTCTTGAACAATAAAAAGACAGGTAACTACAATGAGTATAGCACCAAAACATAGAGAAAAAATCATTAGAGAACTTTTTGACGTTTGGTGATGTTTCAAATAAAGAAAGGATTAGAAGGCTATCAAAGATTTTTTCTGGAAATTTTCGTGTGGGAATCATTAGTATATTTAAGGAGTTTGTGTTCTTTGTAGGAGAAACGACGATGTACATCAATGGTTTGTCTTAGTGCTAAGCAAAACCGTTAAATTAAATTAGATGTGTAACTATACTTAAAATTAGTCGATAAAAGGTTTTTTTTTTTTTTTTTTATATTCATTGTTTTTACTTGATGTTGAGTTGGAGTGTAATTAGCAACTTACCATAAATATTGTGATGATTTGAATGGTGAAACTGTAGAATACTGGAGAAATAAAACTGTGAAGTGGAACCACAACTTTTTGTTGGGTTGGTTTTCAAAACAATTTTCTCTGCAATGATGTTTTTTTCGATTGTGAAACAATCATATCAAACAATTCATGCCTCATGCCACATACGTTCACCATACACTATTTTAGTACTTGATCACATCATTCACATCCCTAAATCGTTTGCACTCCTGATTTTCATTGTCATTAATTTGATGCTATATAGTTTGGTGATATAGTTTAATAGTTAGAAGGTAGTTAAAATCGTAAGATGGCAACTGAATTTGATGATTGTATGGTTGAAGATAACAACAACAAAGGGAAATGTGACCACACAGCTTGTGAGTACCATTGGTTTAAGAAACAAGCCTCGTGCCCTTCCAATCTTTTCCTTTTTCTTCTTTATACCATTGTCTTTCCTTTTTCTATCTTATAATAATATTATCATTTTATATTGAAATTGCAAAAGTAAAGCCCACGAAACCTTTCCAACTTTAATCTATTGAGCAATTCGACTATAACCCATCATCACCCTTGTCACATTCACATGTTATTCTTTGTTTAGTTGTTATAATGTGAATATATTATTTCATCTATAAATGTAATTATGCATTGTTTTGAGTTTTGACATAAAAATCACGAGAAAAAAAAACAAACTTTTGAAATTTGATTATGGGTCGAATTATCGATAAATGTAAGAACTATGATCAATGCGAAAAATCGAATTTATAGCGGTGAAATCTAGACGAACACCTATAACATGAGTTACTGACCAAATATGGATTTCACATTTGCTACAGTAAGTCTTTAGTTCATTTACCGTATAAATTTAAACCCATCATCTGATATTGGCATATAAATCTCAAAGTATGATGAAATGCAAAAAAACGGACATGAAGTAGTGACTACCATTGAATGTTGAAACTTGAAAGTGAATGATTCAGTCAAGAAGCTTCTTGTTTACGATTGAATAAAGTTGTAATGAACCCACTTCACTTCTTTGACCCCATCACTTCTTCTTCATATTTATCCATCAATTTTACAAACATTTTTAAATACCACATTTTACAAAAACATTTGGTAAAGATGCACCACCGATTTTTTTTTTTTTTTCACTTTTTGAAAAAAGGGTTTAGTGAAAAAGAAAGTTTTTTTTTTTTTCCACGTAAAAGCAAAAAGCATGTAAAGCTGTCACAGCACAGGAATATCAAAGCCTAAAAAGAAATTTTATGAAAAAGAAGAAGAATTTTATAAATCCAAACATAAAAAGCTGAACTCTTCCATTGAGAGATCGATCCAAAAACCAAACCCCAAGAAAACAAAAGCACACTAAAAAAAAGCTATGATCAAAGGAAACAATGGAAACAGAGGATCTTCATCTTCTGGTTACTCTGCCGATTTGTTGGTTTGTTTCCCTTCAAGAGCCCACTTAGCTCTGACTCCTAAGCCCATTTGTAGCCCATCTCGCCCCTCTGACTCCTCCACTAACCGTCGTCCCCAACACCGTCGCCAGCTCAGTAAACTCTCCGGCGGCGGTGGAGGACACGGTAGTCCTGTTTTGTGGGCTAAACAAGCAAGCAGTAAGAATATGGGCGGTGACGAAATAGCCGAACCGACTTCTCCTAAAGTAACTTGCGCCGGTCAGATCAAAGTCCGGCCAAGCAAATGCGGCGGGAGAGGAAAGAATTGGCAATCGGTGATGGAAGAGATTGAGAGGATACATGATAATAGATCGCAAAGCAAGTTTTTTGGATTGAAGAAAGATGTGATGGGTTTCTTGACTTGTCTTAGAAACATCAAATTCGATTTCAGGTGTTTTGGTGATTTCCGACATGCTGATGTCACTAGCGACGACGATGAGGAAGAAGATGATGATGATGATGATGAGGAAGAAGAAGGCGAAAGAGAAGAAGAAGAGAACTCAAAGACAGTTTTCTCCAAATGGTTTATGGTTTTACAAGAGGAACAGAGCAACCAAGATGACGACAAGAACAACAACAAGTGTGATGAGAAACGCGATCTTGAAGACACAGAGACAGAACCAGCGGTTCCGCCGCCAAACGCGCTTTTGCTGATGCGGTGTAGATCAGCTCCAGCGAAGAGTTGGTTAGAAGAAAGAATGAAAGTAAAAACAGAGCAAGAAAACAGAGAAGAGCAAAAAGAAGAGAAAGAGGAAAAAGAAACAGAGGATCAAGAAACGAGTATGAAGACAAAGAAGAAGGATTTGAGATCATTAATGGAGGAAGAGAAGATGGAATTGGTGTTGATGAGATACGATACTGAGTTTTACAGACTCTCTTCAGACATAGCTAAGGAAACTTGGGTCGTCGGCGGAATTCAAGATCCTCTGTCTCGGAGTCGAAGCTGGAAAAGTTGATTATACATATCCTCCACCGTTACTCATCATTAAACATCGTATTTTTAAAAATCTAATCAAGCGTTTTTACTACATTTGATTATCTGTTAATTAATTTTGATACTCGTTTTTTTTTTCTTTGGGTTTCTTGAGGTTTTTTTTTCATGGTTCTTCTTCTCCCTTGTTTTGTATCTCAAAAGTTTTTTTTTTTTGTTTACCTTCTTTGTTTCGTTTGTTTCATCACAACGTTTGTAATGTAATGCAAATATGTACAGGCTTTTTTACATTTTACGCAAACCTGCTTAATAGATCATTTTTTTTTGTATTTCATGTTTGATCATACTCGTTGTGTGTATAATAAAATTGAGGAGTTTGCCGTTTTATTGGATATCATATAATAAAATTCAGATGGAAAGAAACATTTCAATTTGCACCATGTATTAGCTTATACAAGCGTATTCACTGCCAATCTCCAAAAATAGCAGCACGCTTAGTCATTTTCATTTTTCTTGCCCTTCTTGATAGAGACACAATCAACAAAGAATCAACTAATATATAACCAAATTGAAGGTTGAACACGGCAAGCAATAACAGGCAAGTTAGCTCTCTTCTCCATGATTATAATATCCAACGAATAAGCGACATCAGCCAAAAAATGTATGAGTTTTCTTAATGCTATAGAGATGTACATCACGATCAGTCAGAAGAGAATTGGGTTTGTGAGACATATGGTGTCTAGTGATTTGTGCAAGTACATCGCTTTGTCACCACTCGGATTCAAACTTGCATATTACATATGGTTTAGCGTTTACGCAATATATGACTTAACACAAATAATATATATATATATATATATATATTGGGTTTTCAAAAAAGAGGAATTATAAGATCATCTCCCTTATTATTATATGAGGTTTTCCGTTTGATACAAAAAATTTATAGTAAAAACAGAAAAGTCCCTAATATAAGAAAATAGTAAAATTAGCAAAAAAAAAAAAGAAGCAAACCAACACGCAGACAATCAAATCATAAAAAAGAATCCCACGTAAAACTATACAATTCGGTTTAGCCAAATCTCCCATTTCAATTGACCGCAACCATATCCGAACCGACTCCTTTAAACCGGAAATCTCCACCGGTCTGCTTCTTAAACCGGACATTCACCTCAGTCAAGGCTCTTCTAGTCTCTTCGTCTTCAGGTGTCTCCATCATCAACAACTCATAATCTTGAATCGCGTGTTGCCATTTCTCCAACTACTTACACAGAGTAAACCATACAAACATTCATCACAAATTACATATATCACACTAAAAATACCAATATCATGTTAAATCGGTCCGGACCGGTTAAATTAAGCTTTTGGAATACCTTGGCATAAGAATCTGCCCTGCGCCGCCTCGCCTTTCGGTACGATGGCTGGAGACTGAGAGCCAATGTGCAATCTTCAATGGCTTTCACGAACAGACCAAGCTTGAATCTTGAAGCAGCTCTGTTACAGAGCAAGAGAGCATTATAGGGATCTTTCTCAAGTCCTTCCGTGTAAACCACGCAAGCCCCTTCAAATTTTGACGCGTTGAAAAGCAAATTTCCGCTCAGTCTTGCAGAAGCAACCGCTCTCGCTTTTCTAGCCACCGCGTTTACTTCTTCGCTGCTCGGATCCAGCCGAGCCGCTTGCCTTGATGCCGTTACTGCATCTTCAAATCTGTCCAAGAAAGAAAGACATGAGTGTCCTCACATTTTACAAGTTAAAAGTAAAAACGTACGTCATGCTGTTTTACTATACTGACCTTCCTACTGCAATGTAGACCTGAGCTCCGACCATTAAGAGGTAAGAAGTGATGGAAAGACCAAAAATCTTTATGAAACTATCGATCTCGAAGCGTTTTGTTCCTTTCTGATACACGCTGTATGCTTCCTCGTGTCGCTGCAGATGCAATAAGGCCTCGGTTTGGAGCGCATAGACCTTATGAGATTGAAGATTTTATGGATTTAATTAGTCAAAATTAACAAGAGTACCTATAAATTTCACTTTTATCATATCCGGTAAGCTAAACCAACACAACCAGTCAAATCAAACTTGCAGTATTTGGCTCCTTAATTATTGACACAAAAAAGCATTAGAGAGATGATATAAACAAGAAAGATAGCTAACCCGAGGCGATGAATCGGCTCCATATGACATCGCAAAAAGAGTCTCTTTCAACGCAACATTCCATTCCTTTGATCTTCGAGCTTCATCACACCTCCTTAAGCATTTTATAACATCTTCAACTTGTTCTATATGTTTTGTCTCTGTATATTTTCCAGCTTCGTTATAGTGACTCATAGCTTTTTCAACCTCACCCAATCTGTTCAAAAACATAAAAAAGTCAGGGTGCAATTTGATAATTGTTAATTATTTAGAACTATATAGTAATAATCTCAAACTTACAGGGACCAATTAGAGAAAAAAGCAAAGACTCTACCTGAGTTGGAGGGAAGCTAGTCTCTGATGAGCTCTCTCGTAAGTTGGGTTTAGTCTTAATGCTTCTTCGCAAGCATCAGAAGCTTCAAGAAGACGACCTAGACTGATCAAAGCGGCGGATTTGTTAGACCAATACGTCGGCGTTTTGGGGTCAGCTGAAATGGCTCTCTCGTAAAACACAAGAGCATCTCCAAACCTCCCACGACAATACTCTTCGTTTCCCATTTTCTTCAGAGTCTCTGGATCGAGTCTGTAATTTACCGGTTTGCCCTCCCACCGTCTTCTCGTCTGTGTCACGTCAGCTTTAACGGCGGGCTGTGGTTTCACAATAATGTTTCCCATAACGCCGTTAAGTGAGAATCTCTTGCTCTCTGTTCTTGATGAGCCTGACGAAATCGATTTTCTTGCGGAATCTGATGATTTTCTGGCGGAATCCGATGATTTTCTCGGGAGATTCTCATCGGATTTTTGTTTTTGCTGGGGTTTCTGAGGATCAGATTTCTTTGGTTGAGAAGAAGTATCGGTCGATTTTCTTGGGAGGATTTTAGGGTTTGTAACGGTGGTTGATGACTTGGAAGGCAAGTTATCTTTTGCCCGATGATCTTTTTCCGGTAAAGAGGGTTTTCGCCGGCGAGGGCTCCAGCTTTGGAAAATACATCCAAGGAGACTCTCACAACCAAATAGTTGACCCGTAGAGATTTTCTTCGATTTGGCCATTTCAAGAAGAGAAAAAAAGTTTGAAGCTTTAGAAAATAAGCACAGTGAAGAAAGAGTTCGATGAAACAGAGGAGTAAGAGAGTTTTTTTTTTAAGTTGAAGATGAAAGTTGTTTATGTATTATTTATATAAGTCTAAGAAAAGAGTTACAGTGGAGTACTTTCCAAGAAACCAACTTTTTGATTTGTCTGCCTTTTGCTATAACACAAAAATCTTACTTTTGTTTTCTAAAATCCAAAAATTAGATCTTAATTTGATTTAATGGGGTCGATTCGTTAAAACATTCCTGTTATTGGCTGACCCTATCGTTGATTGTTTATTGTCTTAATTGATAAAGACGAAATATGCAATAGATTGTTCAAAATTTTTGGAGCCTAGTGAAAGATTAATACTATAGTTTTTTTGTTGTTGTTATCATTATTTTTCGACATTTACGGAAATAATTAATAGAAGGAGAACAGAACCTTTTAACATAAAACGAAAACGATTACCATAGACCACACAAAACTCAAAACCCTTAATTAGTTGGACAATTATTTACGAACACTAGCAATTGATTCTTATTAAAGTAAGCAATTCTATTAGTAGTTGTTGTGCTCTATAGTTATATAGTTTTGTGGTTGTTTTGTTTTGAATAAATCCATCTCATATTCCTAATTCCAAACTTTTTTATTCCAACTAATCTTTTTTGTTTTTTTTTTTGATAATTAACTAATCTTAGCAACAGCAATTTAGGTATACATCAAAAAATATATCCAATGACTCCGATTGATGGGGATATTAAAGCTACTATCCTACAATGATTTGTAAAACATATATAATTACCATTTTAACCCAAGAAAAAAAGCATATATAATTACCAAACAAATGCTTAAGATTTAGCTAGTATGCTATGATGATAAGTAATAAAAACATCAACTATATTTTGGTGTTTTAAGATGTTTTGACTGATAAAAAGGTAAAAAAATATGTATCTGTGATATCGATGGAAGTAAAATTTGTCTCTTTCTACAACTTATGATAATGGCATTAGCCTGTGGTACACTAACAAAAAGTTAAGAACCGACGGGTCAATGCTTAATAGTGCTTTTCTAAAAGTAATTAACGGAATAATTAAGTCTATCCTCTTAAACGCCCAAAGCATCCGCAATAATAAAGTGGGTTGATATCTAGTATATTAGTATATTGATGATACTAATAACCACCAAATTATTATCGTGAACAGATTCTGCTGAAATTACGCTTACACCATTATAATAATATATTAACGGGAACTTTTTTTTCTTTAACTGCGACTTGTACGTGAGTTAAGTGATAATTTATTTTGATATATATATTTACATTTTATCTAGTTGAGATAAACGGATTTTATTGTGTTCATACACTGTGTGGCAGAAAGAGGACAGACAGTGATACGGTCTCGTGACTCTCGTATCGTCTTGTTCGTTCGTGCGAGTCGTCGGTGCCGGCTTTGTTGGGGACCTTCTGTCTCATAAGGCAGCTTTTCTTTCTGTGTCTGTTGTTGTATGTTTGATTTGCCTTTGACTGCTTTATCTTCATTTTTTGTCCTCCCACCTACACGTATGCCTCCAAAGTCCAAACCTTTTTATAGATTTCACTAAAATTTCGTACTAAAGAGAAGCTAGAGCAAAAAAATTAAAGCATCTACATAATTGGATTAGATTATTTGAATATGACAGTTTTTAACAGATTTTAGATCTAGTTCATGGCCTATCAATATTGATAGATGTTTCCAGATAAGATATGTATTTTCAGAATATTGGTATGATCATAAGCGTAGTTTCGTTAGTTTGGTTTTGTTTCTTTCTAAAAAATGCATGGATTGAATGTGCTTATATTTTCCTGCTGCCGACAACTTAGAAAACTCGTGCTAGCTAAAAAATTAAAGAAGAAGGAGAAGAAGGATAAAGCTATGACCAAAGTTATAATGAACCCAAAACTAGCCACGTAAATAGATTCTCTTAAATCTCTCTTTTTCAAAAAATATGCACAAAAATACCAAAAGTAGTCAAAAACCAACGATTTCTAATCTAAATAGTCATTGTATACATGTAATGTTCTTGTTACAAGATTTCTTTCCTCTGAGAACGCAAACATACTTCCAACATACGTACTATTCATCATAATGTGGCTGTATATGGACCATAAACAACTAGTCTAACAAATAAAGCTTTTTCCAAA